ATAATATATTTGTATTTGAATATAGTTTTAAAATAGGTGGTAACCCTCTTCAAATACCTCATTCTACATGTTCAAGCTGAACATTTCTAAACACTCTTACGTCTGACACTTTAATTTGAGTATAGCTAATTTAAATTCGACTTTTAAAACAGGTGGTAACCCTCTCCATATTATTTTCCAACTAAAACCGTATTAAGCCCCTTTGTTATGGCACCCATATTATGACACATACTCCAATTATCTAATTCCTTCAATTCAATTAGAATTGTTTTTTTTTTTAACGGGTGGCAACCGTTCTTTATGTATTTTACAACTAAAACCCTTTTCAAAAATATTTCGATTGACACCCATATTGCAGTAATTCATTTAAGTTAATTGAATTTAATTTTTAATCGTGTGCCAACCTTGGTAAAATACCTCAATAATATTCCGAATATTCAATCTGAAGATTTCATAGCAGTATTTCGTTTCGAAAGCTATATTTTAATTTTTCAGATAGCTTGAGAATAATTAATTTAAATTTGACTTTTTGAACGGGTGGCAACCGTTTTCAAAACTTTTTCAAACCACAATTTTTTTGGGCCTCTTAACATCAATTTTTTAATGTAATTTTCAAATAAATAATTCCCTTAATTCAAGTTCACATTTATTTTTTAAACAAGTGGCAGCCCTCCAAGTTCCAGTCCTCTATCGCAAATATTTCCTGCGATATGTAGTTCCGTTTCTATGAGAGGTGGCCCCGCCCCTTTCTGAATTCGAGATTAAATCTATCATATATTTTAAGTTGGGCTAAATAACCGCAGTGTACCAAATTTCATCATGATGGGTTAAGTAGTTAAAGCGTGAAAGCGTAACAAATGAACAAACTCACTTTCGGATTTGAACCGTTTATTTTGAAAGTGGTATAAGTCACTTCACAGGTCTTGTGCTTAAATGAACGGTTATTTGTATCTGATCGCGTCCGCTATTCGTTCAACTTCATCAACCAAAGGTAGAAGGGTTTGTCGTTAGTTTATGACGATATAGCGATTTACAGATGCATTCGGTTACAAGTAGCCGATTATTTAAGTACGTTAAATACGAAGTGACTTATACCACTTTCAAAATAAACGGTTCATTTATTATATTAAAGTAAGGATTTTTCTTTTCCTATTTTGGATTTATGTATATCTATAGATTTGTTAGTTTTGCCTAAAGCTATCTCTCAGGCTCTGTTTGACATGAACGTACTTTTTATTTTCAATTCTCTAGCTTATCTTAATTTTAAGTTACCGTTGTACTAAAAAGATCTTTAAGATCTTATTTTAATAAATTTCTTTTGAATAATTAAATGAAATGAAATAAAATGAAATGTACATATAAGATTTTTTTCACATCTTATGAAAACGATGCGACTCAATCTTAGCTCTTAAATGCACAGGTACATATCGTAACAACATTAGGGGTATTCTCTGAGTCTTGCAAAGCCCTTGCATGGTGCGCAGATTGCACGGATTGCACGGTTAAAACCGGTTTTCGTATGGGACAGCTTTGCAAACCGTGCAATCCGTGCACCATGCAAGGGCTTTGCAAGACTCAGAGAATACCCCTATTGTAAATGATATGCAAAAAGTCGTGATAAATAATTGATTTTTTTCATAAAATGATGTGGGGAGTTTTAATTTGATGAAATCCATCATATAATTCAATAAGTGAATTTTTGAATTTTTTTTAGTTATGACTTTTTGCATTTCAACGTTGATGTTTGTTACGTCTTTTTGCATTTCATGTATGTTTGTAAATAGTATTTACGCATACGCATCGCTCGGCAGCACCGTTCAATGTACGAGTGAGTATGTAGGCGATTTATGAGCGTAGCAAATTCGGATGCAACGAAAACTCAAAGTTGCCCCACATTTTCTCGACACGTCTGGCTGGTATTAATGCGCCCACAGCCATTCAGTCAGCAAGCGCCAAATAATATTTATTATGCTTTTGTATGCATGTATTTGTTTTTATTTTATTTTCTCAATTTTTTATTTCTGTATGGTTTAATATTTGTGTACCACTTTTTTATCAAATGAATTATTTTGTCCAAAAAATTAGGAACGCAGAAAATCTTGAGTGCTATTGTTCAGTGGAAATAGCGAAAGTAATTCGATTGCTTTTTTTTTGCTCCAAACCGGCACAGCAGCACTTAACTTACCTAATGACATTCAAAATATATTTTTGTGGAGTAGTTTGGACAATTTATTATTCAGTGAACAGGTAAGGTAATTATCAATACCGGTTGCTAGAAAAAATTAAAATCAAACACTCTAACTAGATTTGATATGAAATATAAAAATCGTTTTTTGTTAAAAAAAATAAATCCTATAAAAATTTGGCAAGTGAACACGCGACAAAAGCTTTAAAAAGAAAGAACTTACATATGTGTCTTAAGGAAAATTTAATATTCGAAATTTCTCGCAATTTTAATTTTGCGGGTTTTCGTACGGAAATATGTATAAAAAATGCCAACAAAGCTGTCAACAGCTGCTTTCCACTCAACCGCTCCTTCCACTTTCTTAAAATTTGGAGTTAATTGGTTGAAAAACATAAAGTATTCGCAAATGCTTGAAATTTTCGTGAAATAGTAAAAATGTTACCTCAATCGCAAATGAACTGAGAGTGTCAGCTGGAAAGCAACGATCTACTTCATAAAACTGTGTTCAAAATAATTTCAATGAGATGAGATCCAAAAGTAGAGAAACGTCCGGCCAATTGCCTTGTATGTTTGTGGAAACTGGAGTGTATATCCGTTATAAAAACCAAAAATTTTATTTGTTTTTAGTTGTAAAATATATTGTCAAGAATGTCGCTTTGTGCTTGTCCAAGTACTGATGGCATTTTCGCGGCTGTGCGCGAAGAATGAGAGCAAGCTTTTAAAGGTAGCCCCAAAAACGTTCGGGTTGTTCACCGTCGGACTTTGTATGCAATAAATCCCTTATTGTAGCTTGACCTCCTTCGTCCAAGGGGCAAAGAGGTAATCAATTAAATTACCGGATGACTACAGCGAACAATCATAAGCATATGTCATAAAGAAAGCTCCCTCCGCTGTCTGAAAAGGCTTTGAAATATAGATAGTAAAAAGTTGTATCTTGAAAGTTTACTGACGATTGCCGTCCACTTATGTAATTGAAGGTCCACCCTTTTCTTCGCCTGGGTCAGGTGATACGGCTTCCGTACTGGGCGATAAGACTCCCCGTGGGTGGCTGGTTGCTCCGGCTTTAGCAGTTTCACAAACTTACGTGATTTCCACACATCTGAAATTATGGGGACGGCCATAGATAATTTTGGAGCATAATATTTGGAGCATAATATTTTGGCGTTTCCACTTTTGCTAAGTATATGGCCGAGCTTTTTCTCCAAGTTCTGGTGTGCGTCTTGATGTTGTTACATAAATAACGCAACCTTCAGTTTATGCCGCCTTTGAACGGGGAATGGATTGTTATGAGAAGCTTTTTCATGGAAGAAATACACTCGGGGGTTAGCCATTGCCTGCCGAATTGCGACTGCTGTTAGAAAAGATTTTTCTAAGAGAGTTTTCACATTGACGAGTTAACTCTCATTCGGCAGTTAACTAGATTTTCATTAAAACAAAAATTAAAATTAACTGCCGAATGTGAGTTCAATGTGAAAATTACCTTAATTTATAAGTTGCCCGGACTGGAAATCCAACCCAGGTTCTAAAGAATAATAGTACGCTCCTCTAATCACTCAGCTACAGCGGCCACCGAAAGTAAGGTGTGAAGGTACCGTTTTTT